CACAATTTTTTAATAGTTAGATCTAGTAAAGGACATAACCTCATCTACAAGGCACATTTCTAAAAAGGGAGTACAGAAAGAGAAGATTGAAACTGCCTCCTGAATAAATCAAGGACCAGTGAAGGGGCAAGACTGGAATTTCAGTGAACCTCATTTTAAATGCATGGAAATCAAACTTTTTTTTTTTATTAGCTTGTGCTAAGGATGGCTTCAATGTCATTGCATTTTATTGGTGTCAGGATGCTTAAAAGCAGGGTACTGCTTTAATTTTCCAGTTAGCATTCCAGAATTCTTCATGTAGAAGAAGTGCACACAATCAGCTTTTCCCCATTTAGCATGAGTTTATAATGTGAAGTATCTTCTAGTGGCCAGTGGTGTCCAAGAACGTTTGGATTATTTATGGGATGTATGATCTGAGTATTGAATCGCTGTCCTTAATAAGAAACAATATGGGTTAGGAGATGAATCTCTTACCTCCTAAACAAATGTCCTAGCCATTGAGCTTCTGGAGATACATGCAAGAGTGTTTACAGCTTTAGCCAGAAATTTTAATTATTTTAATGAAATGCTGTTGTATCACAAGTTAAAAAATAGCTATCACAAGTTAACAAATAGCTGTGCAGTTGCCTCTTGGAGATAATATATACTAGTCAGTGGCTGGCCTGTGAAATACAGTACAACCAGCCTTTCTCAATACATTTTCCTGCTTCACAATTTCATTATTCACTTCATTCTCATCTACATGTAGGAACCTGTTAATCATTTGGGTTTGAGGGAGAGCATTAATATTATTCTTTGGTTTTATAGTGAAATCTGATAAGCTCTGTATTTCCCCTGGTTTTTGACAAAATTACATATTTATTGCTGTGTTTGAAATTCAGATACACTCAGCATTTTAATCTGAGCCCATTTTATTTTGCATATACCCTGTGGTATTTCTTTATGCTTGATGAATTTCTCTGGAGATTTTTTGAAAAGCTTTGAGATTGACTGCCAGGTACTACAAACAGGTTCATTCAACACTGCAATCAGCTATTCTATTAAAGGAATCAATTTGAATAAATTTCATTAAGTAAAAGTTCTAAAAACAAGAGATGGCATATCAGGAAGCTTGTAAGAACTATTTTGTAGGGGTTCTAGTCCAAAAATAAGATCCTGGAAGCAGCAGGATTTCTTAACGGTTTTCTTTTTTTCCTGTGAAAAATAAGCTTTATAATAGGTAGTGCGCTGTCCCTGTTCACAGACAGACTTTATTGCTGTTTCAGATCAAGTACATTCCTTAGAGTACAAATAGTTTTGAACTATTCTGTTAGCTTGAGTTGCTTTGGTAGAATTCAATCACATCTACAATCTTTCCTAAATGTAGACTTACCATTTCCCCTACCAAATTTTAAAAGGCCATTCCACTGCGTTTTTTTCAAGTGCTGCATTAAACAGCATGGTCATCATACTGTACCTGTGGTATGTCTTTTGGGTAGAGCATGCTGTCGTGCTAGGGTCTGGGTTGCAACAACTGCCTGGGGTCTAACATCCGTATGATTGTGTGTTCAGATTAAAGAAGCCAGCGGCCACAGGTTCCCTGAATGCTGAAAAGGAGTTAGTATTTCAATAGTCATCACTGATGGTGGTTTATTTTGTGATCCTGGACCACAGATGAGACCAGTAAGTGCAGGATTTGTGCCCTGCACAGAGGAGAATTTCTAACAGAACTTAAATGGAAAGTTTTCAGTCCTGTTGAAAATCACTGTCCCAGGGACTTAGAGCACCTGACCAGGCTTCCTGTTGCTTTGCGTGCCAGTTTGCAACATCTGTGAGATATAAAGAACATACTGCTTAGTCCTGTTTCCCCTCCATGTATTCACCCAGCATTTTCACTTTTAAAAGGACTGTTGATGTGAAAACCTGCTCCTGGAATTCTAATCCCACTTTCTTGTCCTTTCATACACCAGTTTCAGCAGAGGGCCATGAATTATTTTGCAAACAAATAGTTAAGTATCTTTGATCTAAAGGTAACTTGGCCCATCACACCAATGAGGTGATGCAGGTAAGTAATTTTGTGGGAACAGGACCTAGCCACATTTTTCCTGAGTAACTAGGTACCCACTCTGGTAGTACCAAAGGTGAGTATACAATATAATTTGAAGCTGCAGGGAGTACAAGCAGAACTCTATTCACTTGGTCTTTAAACAAGATGGCATGAAGGCAAGTAACAAAATACATTCTTTATGTTCTGTGCAAAAGATTTCCTAGTAAATAATAATACAGAGCTGTCAGCATGCCAGGGAAATGCTATCAGTTCTGCAGCAAAATGTGTTGCAAAGTAATTTAGCTGCCATAGGTGGAACTCTGTTTGTTAAAGAACAAAGTTCCTTAACACCCTGCCTGAGATCTTCTGAGATTGTAATAAATGCCACAGACTCCTCTAGACTGCTTCTGAATTATTTCAGACCCAAGAGAAATTCTTATATCCCTGAACACCCAGTAAAGGCAGGAGAATTAACTCATCCTGAAAGGCTAGTAAAGCTCAGAGAAGAGATGGTTTACAGAGATAGAGTGATCGTTCTTAAATGTTGTATGGGATACAGAGATTAGAAACATAGGATGTTTCAGTTTATGTTAAATCCCAGAATTTGGAGACTTGAATTTTAAAATAAGTAGCAGTTCTCTCTTCTGAGAACTCAGACAAAGCATTTTGCATTAGTGTTGGCAAGCTAAGCCAGGCCCACAACTACACTGATGACTGAGATGGTATAAATCCTGCCTCTTGGAACAGGAAGCGGTAACTCCAATAATTAAGGAATAGGGGAGATCCATCCTTCAGCATAGGATGCACCTGTGTAGCAAATGTTACCCTAATGATACTGTCATCTTCAGATTGTGAGCAATTGCTAAAAATAGGAGAAGTGTTACTAGAAATGACGTATCCGATTGTTGGGTCTTGGACTACTAATTCTCATACTTACACCTGGTACCCAGTTTCAGAAACGTGTAGCCCAATTTACAAGAATTCAGGACACTTTGAGATTAAACAAAGCCAGTGGGCACTGGATTCTGAAAAACCTGCATACTTGAAACAGGTAAGAGTGGAAAAAATCAAGACAGCTCATCTCGAAGGTGTAGTGAACACTTTTGATAGTGTTGTGTTTCAATTTTATCCATAAGAAGAGGTTACTGCTGGGAGCTCTTAAGGTAAGCTATTTATTGTTTGTGAAACAGCTCATTAATAACGGTGATTAGCATCCTAGAGGGATCCCAGGAGGAAAATAATAATTTAGTATTCAGAGAAATACAAAATAAAGATTTTTGAGAAATCTATCCATTCAGTGGGTGTTGATAAACCTAAACATGGAACAGATAAAGGTCCTGTGGAAACAGTACATGAACCCAAAAATTATCACTATGGGGGCACAGAACTAGATTTCACATGCAAACTAAGTTCTGATCATTCTTTATTTCTGAGTTCGTGACCTTGCAATTTAACATCCTCTTTTGTTTTTTTGGTTTTTTTTCTCTCCTACTTTCTTTTTTATGATACCACATCTAGCAGTTGGAATGGGTTCTTAGACAATAGTACATTATACCAGTGTGTCTCCCAGGAAAAGAAAAGTCCACTAGAACTTTTCACGTCTATGAGCTGCAGACAAATGGTTTTGACATTTAGATAAAAATCTCTGTGTTTCTATTGAGAGGTTCTAGATTTTGATCACTTAAGAGATTGTAATTAAACCTATATTTAAAAGAAGGCAACAGCTAGAAGATGACTTATTTTTGCAACAGGAATGCTGAAAAGAGTTTTAAAATTACTGGCTGTATTTTAAGGAAAAGACAGAAATATAAGTGTTTTCGAGAGGGCTAACACTGATTTACAATGAAAGCAAAACCAAGTAGGCAATAAAGCTTTTTGGACTGGTAAGGTCACATGAAACTCACACCAAACCAGCTCTTCATACTGCTGGAGTACTGCAGCGCCCATGGGACCTTTCCAGTATGTCTGTTTTCTCTCTTCTGCTGGGGAAAGCTACCTGCCCTCATGCCTTCTCCTCGGGGATTATCTCAAACTGTAGCAAGTTTGCAAACACAGCTCGTATCATCACTGTGTATTTGACAGTGAAATTACGTGTTTTGAACAGACTTTTTAGCTTGGATGCCATCTGACTAAATCACCCAAACTCTTCTTGCGAGTGAAACAGCCTTAGCAGTTGAAAACCACTCATATGGGACTAGTTTTAATAAAACCACCAGAAGGTGTTTGTTTTCCTAGGCTTGAACCTGTCCTGCATCAGAAGGAATTAGAACACGGTGCTAATAACGCCAAGTTCACAGGTTCAATCCCTGCTTACTGCAGGGGAGGTTGGGCTCGATGATCTCTCAAGGTCCCTTCCAACCCAAAGCATTCTATGATTCTATGATGATTCTATGAATTTGAATAATTCTGTCTTTCCAGAAGGCACTGAAGAGTGCCGTATTTTGGAGCATCAACTATTAACATGACTAGTGTCAATTTTGTCTTAACTAAATGCCATACTGTCTCTTTTAACTCTCCCTTCTTTCTTGCCATCATTCATTTCATATTAGCACCTTTGAAAATGTGCCTATGAGGTGTTGTGCTACACCAGATTGTTGCCACAGCAACTTTCAAAATAAATGTTTCTATAACACATCACCATAGCCAGTAAAACAAGATATTCTTTGTACTGTAGTTGCATGTAGGCAACAGTTAGGTTTCAAGGTCTCATGTGCTCGTGCCGCTATTGCATTTTAAATACGCTTGTGTGCCTTGAACCAAAACATTTAAGTTGTTCCCTCTACAAAACCTGGCCTTTTTAACTCAAGTGTTAGTGGCATTGGGTTTTAGCTCTAGGGTCGGTCACTGGCCCAGTGTCTTCACTGGGACATGGTTCCCTCACTGGCGTCATGGAGACATGCAATGAAAGAGCTCCAGAGGGCCGGGGTGTCCACTTTCTCACCCTTCTCTCTGTCCCTCTTTGTCCCACTCTTAGGAGCTGTACTCTAAAGCTTCCCATGCTTTAGCGGAGTTGGTGACGGAGCTATTTCTTCAGACCCTGCCTGTTGTGACCAGCCTCTCTGTAAGAGAATGTGAGCTTCTGAAAGAGGAGTGGCAGGAGAATTTGGTTCCTCAGCTGGAGAAATGGGAGACCCACCACCAGAGACGCTGGAAGCTTTTCCAGGAACAGCTATTGCAAGAAAAAAAAGTAAGAAAGACCCATATTATGTTCTGGGACCCCAGGGTCTGAAAACAGGGATATGGAAAAAAAAAAAACCTCAAGATACTTATCTGTGCGGAGTATTTTGTTTATAAATATACAGCCCAGGTCCAGACACAGGATGAGACTCAGGACAGGGAGTTTGACCTGCAGTATGGAGTGAATGTATATGCTGTGCATGCAGGCTTGCATTGAGTCAGAGAGTAATTGCTGAACATCTGTCCACAGTGTTTGACGGCTTTGTCAGCACATAAATTTTTGGGGGGAAGGCTGCTGTCCGATGTTCTCAACTCTTAAGCATCTACAAAAACAGTTCAAAAAAAGGTCCATCTGGTCTGTGTGGAGAGGGTACATATAAGTACAGTTTACAGGAAAGGACGCCTTACAATGAAAAATATTTCTTAATCATTTTTATGTATTAATACTATAATAATTGGAAACATATGATACACACTTTATATAAACTTATTCTTTACTCTGAGAAGGTGAAGAAACACACATCCAGCTTTTCTGCTCTGTTTGTGCCCAGGATAGGGGGCATTGACACCAGAGGAGTAAAGCAACAACAGTAAATGCTGAGGCAGATATCTTTGGCGTTAGGCTGGAACTCAGATATACCTTCAATTTATTCATGCAACGCTATCTCTCTGTTAACACTTCTTTTTTAGACTAACACAGCTTAGTCAAAGACAGACCTTCTGTATACAAAGGTGTGCCCCTTCCCAAATGTCAAGTGTGTGCTGTAACATACAGAGTAATTGGAGCTTCTTAAATAAAAGGTTGGCAGAGTTCTTTAACACTGACAAAATCATACTTCTCCCTAGCCTCATTCTCCAAAGTGCCTGGACAATCCAATACATGGTTAATAAGGTACTGATTTGAGACCCTAATTATTACAGACTGCTATAAGGTGTTTAACTTTTCCACGCACTCAGATTTAGAGTTGTTCCATAAAACCCTGTGATTCAGGAAACTGTGGGCTTCCTACTAAATCTTGTAGAGTGGTTTGCTGACCAGTGGTTTTAGAACATCCTTGGGAATACAAAAGTAAAATTATTCATTGGAAATTCTTAGCCATTTCCTTTTTTTCTTCTCTATTTTCCTTAATCTGGAGTTACACAAGATGCACCTCCCTGATCATTTTATATTTACTTTATTGTAACTCACCTGTTATCTCAACTATTTTGAAAAACAGTTCTACTTGCCTCTTCTGTTTCTGTGTCACAGGGATATCTAGCAAACTAAACTAAAATATGCTTGGGACTGACCACTGATGCCAGTGAGCTTGCTCACACGCCTTAAGTTAAGGGCGAGCATTTCTGTCTTCTAGGAGTGCTGGCTGGCATTTAGTGTTTGAATTTGGCATTACCTATACCTTCAGTGTTTAATGAAACAGTGTCTGAGCTCAACTTTTTTTATTTTGCCCCTTTTTATCAAGGATTAGATTCAATACCTGACTTGGCAAGCTTAAACCTCTAGGTTGCTGTTCATTTTCACATACACCAAGGGTTCACAAATTGCCTGTTCTCGTATGTGAATGACCTGAGCAGCCTGGACTAGTAGGTGCACTACAAGCATGTCTTATAGTGCGTGGAGACCAGAGCACCGTGGTGGTATCTATTGTCATTAAAAACCACAGTCAGAGAAGGAGGAATTTCTGGTGTGCAACTTACGATTAGTCTCAGAAGTCAGAGTGCATGTTAGGGCACCTCTGCTCTGGTCGTTCCACTGTCCCATTGAACCTCAGCCATTGTTCAGGGCCAGAGAGGATGTTGTTCAAGGGCTGGGAGACTCTCCACAGAGGGGGAGATCTTAAGTCTAAAGTTTTGTTCCAAAAATGCTGTTTATGCATTCCTTTCTTACTATCGTTGGGCACAGTATTGAGTAGAGAAATCACATCCTGGGATTTTTTCTCAAGGAATTCAAAGGATTATTTCATCTCCAGTACCCAGTGCTTTGGGCAGCACTGTACGATGGATTCATTTTATATGAATGCAGATGTTCCAGTCATGCCCAAATGTAGGTCATTTAAACTAGAAAGTTGACTTTCCATCACTTTCAGTGTACTGTAGCATTCATAATACAAAGCAGATGGCTTCCTAGCTGGGGAAAAAAAAAAAAAAGAATAAAGAGTTTGCTTACATCATTAACAGTAATTACTGAGCTATGGAAGAATTCATTTAGCAATGACAGAGCTGTCACATTGGTCTCTGGGTCACCAGCAATGCAGTTGGGCCTTATTCAATATAAAAATTTCCTGAGCAGCAGGCAGAGCTGTCCTAAGGATGAGTGATTCTGTGGGATAAATTACTAGAAGAGACAAGGGTTTCTCCTAGTGGGAAAATCATAGAATCGTTTAGGTTGGAAAAGACCTTTAAGATCATCCAGTCCAACCATTAACCTAACATTACCAAGTCCACCACTAAACCAGTTAAGGGTGGAGTAGCAATTACATATTTCCTGGCTTGGTAGCTGGATTATTTATAATGAAAGTAAAAATTAGGAATCATTAAGATTGGAAAGGACCTCTAAGATCATGAGTCCAATCATCAACCCAACACCACCATGCCCACTAAATCATGTCCCAAAGTCCCATGTCTACCCATTTTTTGAACACTTCCAGGGATGGTGACTCCACCACCTCTCTGGGCAGCCTGTTCCAATGCTTGACTACCCTTTCTGTGAAGAAGTTTTTCCTAATATCCAATCTAAATGTGTGATTCCTCAAGACTATATCCTTTGCAGGAACTTAAGTAGCTTTTTAAACTTAATGTGTGTGGCTTTTTGGAAGTGGTTTGAACTAAACTGAAAAAAAGTCTGCTATATCTCCAAAGAGAGCATGGAGGGAGATAGCTATTACACTGAAGCTAGGCTGGCAGATTTTCCTGTATAAACAAGTCTGAAAAACATCACACAACTCATTCAAATGCATTTCTTGACCCTTTCCTAGTATAAACACAGCAGCATGCACATTTAAGCAATGAGCTGACACTTGCGTCCTACAAAAAGGAGCACTTGGTTTCCACCTTAAGAAGAGAGATCAGACACTTGTGACAGGTGATCATGTCATTTAGGAGATCCCACAGATGTCACAGTGCTGAATATGACAGAAGATCCATAAACCAACATTCATATTGACAGGCCTTTTAATTTATCAGGAATTTTCCAGCAGGAGATACGTCTTTTGTTTGCCTCTTAATAAATGTACTATACTAAGGGTTACATAGTCACCTGCTTTACAGACTTGGGAAGTCTAACACCCGAAGTCTTTTCATGTGTGCTTTTCAAGGTGGTGCAAAAAGACATTTTTCCCATTTACTTGAACTGAATTTTTTTTTTAGATTATCTTTCCTAGGATTTATACGTATCTGGAATGTGATGTCCTTTGGGGGAACAGAATCTCTTGTACAATTGAAAAGAAAAAAAACAGTTTCATTTTTAACTTTTGCCTTATATACTTGAGGATGTGAGTGAGACAAATGAGAATAAATGACTAATGAAGATAAATTTTGAGCATTTTCCCTGCATAGCCCCTACCTCATGATTTCTGTAGACAAGCTCTCCTGCCTAGGCAGCAGTTCCAGGGAGCAGACTGCTGCACCAGGCTGAGGTACTTGCTTGGCATTCAGTGTGCATCACACCCCATCTACAGGCTGTTAGGGAGAAATTGCTTTCCTTCGATTTCCTGAGAATCTGTACTAAAAATGTCAAACTGAGAGCTGCAGGAAAAAAGAGCAAGCTTATTTGGGTCTAATTTGCTGTTGTATCTGAGATCTACCTCAAAATATTTTATGGGTTTCATTACCTACCAAAGACATATTCCTCACCTTTATTGCCAGAGTAATACTTAAAGTTAGCAGTGTTCCATAACATCTTGTAATGGACTTGTTGCCAGGAAGCAAAACACCAAGAAGCTTATGGAGAAAAAACAGGGTGAGGAGATTTCTGTCTGTTTTCACATCATTGCTTGACACCCAGAAATCTGAACTAGCATCTGCTTACCAGTTTTGACATGGTGTGCATTTTATTGCTTTCTCTTGATTTTATACACATTTTTTCATAGTGATTGGAATCACTCTTCTTTTCAAGAAGCCAGACATTCCTTGGAGCTTTACTCCACCATGTACCATGCTTTTGTCACTGGTTTTACTGGTTAAATGCAGGAATCGGACAGCCCGAGCTCTGTTCCAGCCACTGAGTCTGTGCAGCAGCATTGTTTTCTCCACTCTGTACTGACTAGTCTCTGAGCAAAGTAAGGCCATTCCTAAGAACAGGAGAGCTTGGAGAGGTACCTGGAGATCTGGCCCAGCGTTGGAAGGTCAGTGCAGCACAGAGCCTGACCTTTCCACCTAGCTTGATGAAATAGTTGTCTCTGTTTTGCTGGTTTTCAGCAATATGCCAGCAGCCTTAAATTAAGATTCCCAGAGGATCGTTGCTGTTGCATTTGTGCCTTCATCTGTGAGTTCTTCTAGTGTTTTGGAGATGGAAAATACCCAGCCCTTCCAGCCCATCCCAGCGTGCCATTGAAGTGTTGCTTCCAATAAAACCTACAATATTCCGTTCTTATTCCCAGCTGATCCTTCCCTTCTTGATCATCTTCCTAATAGCCTTTTTGAGAAAAAACACTGGTTTAGTATTTGGTCCAAATCTCAATCTTCCTTATTTATCATCCCATCTTAAATGTGTAATAATCCCCCTTCTTTCCTCTTTGTTCTCTTAACTACTTACATGGCTGATCTACTTCTACTGTTCAGTTTAATAACTATGCGCAGGGATATTTTCTGCTGTGTGCTCAGCTTTCCATTGGTCTCAGGGGGGTGAAGAGACCTTTTATAAATTTTGCACGCAGTTTACCTTAAAAGCAGTCACAATGGAAAAGGTGACTCATTCTTCCCTTTAAAAGAAAGTCTGTGTTCACCACCACAGAACTAGGCTATTTCTTCATAAACAGAAGTAAACGACGACTACAATCCTTGTCATTGTTATCA